CACGATTGGACGCCGCAGATACAGCGAGAGTATGCTCGTGTACTCCCTGATTTGAAGTCACTACTGCAGAAAGAGCAGGCGTGGAAAGCCAAGCATGCTCAAACCAATCAGACCCTCGGGGTGTCTCAAGCATTTGAGTTTGGGAAGAAATCTTCCTTTGAGTATGTGCTAAGAACCTGTTTCTGACTGTTCGACTAACTGGATTTACAGGCAAACAAGGATCTCTCAACTTAAAGACGATGTCATCCAACTCGCCACAAGACTTGATATTACTCTTTCCAAACCTCCTGATGCCGAACATTGATCTGTTTTCTTTCTGTCTTTCGTCGTGCTGTTTACTGTCTCATTTGAAACGGGTTAATGATCTCAATGTATTTTACTTAACAATGATATACGTCTTGTTTACAAAGACGCCCTGGGAATATTGTACATGACACGGATATCGTCGCTGAATAGCCCGGTGTCGCGAGAGAACGTTAGTAGACGTAGCGGACTGTTTCAGAAGGTCAGTCTATGAAAACTACAGCGTTTGAACAGATACACACAATCGGGGTTCTCCTGATCGGTAAGGTCGTCAAAGGCTTGTCGGTGGGCAAGATGCTCATCCTGAAGGACAGATGGTTAACACAAACCCTAGACTTCAATGGGGGTGAGCGTACTGAATCTTCGCCGCCAGCCTGACTTTCTTTCAGTGATTGCGCACGGCGTTTCAAGACATTTAAACGCATAAGCCGGACTCGGAGGAAGAAGATGGCTGCGATCTGGAGCCCATACATGACCATGTGGGAGATCCATGCTTTCACATATCGAGGACCGTCGTCAGAACGGAAGACTAAACTCACGTTATCACCAGATAATATAGTAGTGCTGGAAAGGTGAACCGCACCTTGTGGCCCCACAGCATTTCCAACTGCCCATGCACTAGCAAAGGTTTCACTATCTAGTTATTTCTAGAGATGCAATTAGACTCACATGAACACCAGCGTCGACCCGATCACTTGCTTGGACCGCTATGTGAATATTATTCATTCATATCCTTGGCAAGACCACGTTTTTGCACACACCCCGCCGACATTTCCGGACATTGATGCCAAGTTCAAGACTGCAACGGCCCCGAAGCCTTGTGTACAACTGTAGCATCGTTAGCGCAAAGTTTTGGACCAAGAAAATAGGCGTACTAAAAAGCAATCAGAAGCCCGACTTTTGTCCTTGCAGACGTTTCTACACATATGAATACAATCGTGCCAGCAATATTGGGAAGAGTATATAGCTATTCACAAACGAAGGTGTTATATGGAGGTCCAAGTACTGGTGTATGTCGACTTACGAAAGCTAGCAGAAGTTTTTGGTTGTATCTTTTCGACAGATATGCCGCACTGAACAAGAAAGACATGATAATGGCACCTGCAAACGATCAATTAGGAGTACCACGCAAATATGGGCCATTCTCACCCTGCGCAATGGCGAGCAAGTAGGTTTGTAGAACTGTGAACCCCTTCTAACAGTTAATACCGGCTATCTGGGCGACAAGACACAGTACTCACAAATGCGGTCAAGATGATGTTCGAGAAAGCACCAATACCGCCAGTGGGCAAAGCATTCGTAAAGGAGATCAGGGTAATAACCCATATGGTTGGATCGAAAAGGCCTTCGACTGTTGAAAGGGAGGTCAGGACGGGAAGTTTTATGGGCGCATACGTGCAACGTACTCGCTTGGTGTTTCTGTGGCAATACTTAGCTCAGAGCACAACAGAAGGTGACTAAGGATGACCTCACCTTGAATTCCTTGTTCTGCAATCCGGTATCATTTTTCCTGACGCGTTCTGCAATAAGAATGCGATCTTCGGGGGTAAAGCACTTGGCCCGCATGGGACTATCTGGGAGCCAGAATCCGACGAAGATACCCCATACGAACGTGATACAGCCGAGTAACTGATAGATCGATTAGAAATGGAAGACAGCGCGGGAAAGCGGAGGCCGCGTACAGTAAATAGTATTTGCCAGTTTTTAATCTTGGCGTCTGTGATCTGGGCAATTCCATAGGCAATAAGACCACCGACGCATTGCTGGAAGCCATTCATGGAGTAAAACGACCCGATGACCAAAGCCTGTTCTTCTCGGGTATACCACATCGTGGACCTTCGTTCGTCAGTGACGCGTCTTTCACAAAACGGAGCCAACCCACAGGAAAACAAAGGCTGGTTGGCAGACACATTCAAATATACCCAGAAGTGTCCGTACAATAATCAAACCGACAAAATTGTTGCAAGCTGCCGTGCAGGCTAGAACGGCGCCCCAGGCCATGATACTGTCGACGACACTAAGCTTCCATTATGACACGGGAGATAAGAAGCACACATACTTGAACGAAAGATATTTCGCGATAGGGAGTCGTTGAATGAGCCGATTGGTCGGGAACTCCCAGGCGAGTCTGTGTACATGTTACACATCTTCAAAGATGGAATATGGTGAACTCTCACATCGCAATATAGACTAGAATATATTTAGGAAACTATCCAAAACCAGAGTGTTGATGCTTACCGCATGTAGTCAACCAGGCATACTGTTGGCCTTGAAGGTGCGTATCTGTCCGAATGCCCATGATCGAAGCGAAGTTAATTGTTCTATGAGGGGTGTTACATGATGCGCTTGCATATCGGAGGTCAGCCGAATAATCACCCTTTATCCAATGTTTGTGCAACTGAAGGTAATGTAAGTACAGGATACGTTGAAATGAGGCAAACACATTTACAGTAAGTGACGACCATGACAAGCTAGCGGGTAGGAATGAGTAACAGGAGGAAAGGGCAATGTAGAATATTGTACCAAGACACGCTTGTGAACCAGCCATCTGAGTCGCCTGTTTGTCGCTTCGTCGATGACTACAGGTGTGTCCTGCAGGGCGAAAAAGTTGGCGACTTCGGCGTCAATTCCGGCTGGTGGTGTGCCTAGTGGAGGGGAGTATTTAGCCAGCAACGGATTGCCAAGCAAGCAGAGGTAATTACCAGAGGTAGGAGAGCCAGTGCGGTAGGAGCCTTTCTCGACATCCTCAACATGTTCCTGCAAGTCCTTCGTCACGTCCGACATAGTGAGCAGAAGTTGAAATCTCGGACCCTCTGAGAAGCATCAGCAAACTTTTTATATGATTCTATGAAAGGGGATCGGAAGGTCCTGTGATATGATCGCCCCTGGCCTAACAGTGGTGCGCGACCTGCTACAAGTCGATCGTTGGTCCGGGGCCCCGCAATTGCACCTCGTTATTTCCCCACATGCCCCCGGCTGGCGGTCCGCGGTCCGCTTCCCTTCTCACACACACACTTTAAAGCGAGATCCGGGGCCAGAACGCTCCTTTTCATCGCTATGTCGTCTAGAAATATCAACCCTCGAAAGGTAAGTCCGCATATCGCCTGCAGTTTGTCCTTTTCCTCATCCATTGTGCAGGTTCAAACCCTACAACATATCCGCAATCTCATCAATTGCTTAGTGAACATCAAAGATGAGACCGGAGAGTTCCTCATGACCTTGGAAGATGGAAGGGTCATCGATACGAAAGGGTGGAACGACTGGGAGGTGAGATCATCGTTATTAAAGAGATAGGGTCTGACTGGCGTGTTCTAGTGGACACATGGGATTGGTTAGTGATTTCCGGTATCAATGACGAAACACCTAAACGCAAAATAGGACTTTACGGACTTTGGAAATTTCACGAAATTACCGGAGATCAGGAGGCCCTGGATATTTCCCTAGCGTGGTTTAAAGACCGCTTCGAAATTGGAACTACCAAAGTATGTGAATCGTGTTTCCGAGACACGATGTTCGCCTGACTTCTGGAACAGAACGTCAACACCATGTCCCCATTGCTGACTGCCGCATACCTTCATGAGGGGAAGTACGCTAGTTATCAAGCCCATCTAAATTCTTGGGCCGAATGGGTGATGTACGACATGCCCAGAACCGAAGACGGCGGTCTGCAGCACATCACGTATCTTGTTGACAATTACCAGCAACTGTGGGACGATACACTGATGATGTCCGTCTTGCCTTTGGCGAAGATTGGTCTTGTATTGGGAAGACCCACCTATGTTGAAGAAGCCAAGCGTCAATTCTTGCTCCAGTAAGTCTGTGTGATCGCAAGAGATGATGCATTTACCCACCTTTCATAGTATCAAGTATCTGCAAGACGTGCAGACTGGACTCTGGTTTCACGGTAGATATTTGTCCCAGCTGCTCCGGCCTGAGCTTACATCCATGAACAGGGTGGACATTTGATGGACAACACCACTTTGGGCGGGCGAGATGGGGCAGGGGAAACTGTTGGGTAACAGTAGCCATTCCGGACTTCGTCGAGATGCTTCTATTGCCTGAAACCGACGGTGTTCGGCTGTTCCTAGTCTCCTCTCTCGTCGCTCAAATTGATGCTTTGGTGAAGTACCAAGACCCCGCGACCGGCCTTTGGCATACCATTCTCGACGATCCGACATCGTATTTGGAGGCGTCTTGCACGGCTGGATTCGCGTACGGGATCATGAAGGCGCTGAGGCTGAGGCTGATACCAAAGGAAGAGAGATATGTCAATACCGCGAAGAAGGCGATTCAAGCTTTGTTGGATAATATCACGGAAGCCGGCGAGTTGAAGTTGGTGTCCTTTGGAACTCCTGTGTTCGACGATATCGAGGGGTACAAGCAGATACCTCTGACGAGTATGCCATATGGACAGAGCCTGGCCCTCTTGGCGATGACAGAATACCTTAGAACCTTCCTGTAGTGCTCTCGTCGAAACCGGTGATCAAAGGACCATGGATGTTGCAAAAGCAATCATTTTACGTAGCGAAAGCATGATCGGGCCGTAGAGACTCATCACGATCACGATCAATTATGATCGGGTTTGCATCTCTACCTCCATCCTTGTTTCCAGAAGTCCTTCATTTCAAAAGTTTTTTCCTCCATTTTTCGTCATCTGAGAAGGGGAACCTATAGGTCTTCATTAGTAAGCTATCCCAGGCAGAATGGCCGAGCGGTCTAAGGCGTGTGACTCAAGCAATGGCGCAGTATTACGTCAGCTTGCCCAGATGTGGGTTTCTCATCATCGTATGATGGCAGGGGTTCGAATCCCCTTTCTGTCAGTTTTGTTGATTCGTCGTAGGCCGACACCTGAAATTTCCTGGAAGTTTGTCAGGATGTCTTTCACTTTTGGACTTAAAGTTTGTATCTCTTTCGTTCTGCTCTAAAGGGTCCCACAAATCTCGCGCGACTCCAAAAAATCCGTTCATTATTTGCTAACGGCTATTCCCAAGAGATTGTCTGCTAGAAATCGAGCTGGGAACTCTTGCAATTGATGGTACAGGGTAACGACCAGACTAATCGGCTCATCGTGGCACAGGAGGCAATAGGATGCAAAGGAAATACGCTGACTGTCTGTCACTCAGAAAGCGCTTACGGAACAAGGAGCACCGGGTAGTTAGCTGTGATATGCTAGCTTAAGTTTTAGTCTTAGACTTATCAAGTACGTCGTTTTCGAAGTTTCATTATCAACAGTCTGAATCTTCCCAAACGGAGTAAATGTAGAGAGATATTGAGTGGTGTGGGTTGATACAAACATCATCACACCCTACTTGAACGACTTCAGAAGAGCCATCACAGGTTTGTCAGCGGTTCAGGTTTATAGCTTGATAACTGTCGAAAGATAAACTAACGATACAAGGGGGCACAAAGGAATAAAAATATACATGTCGTTATGCGGTTCAGTCTTGGGTAAGAGGGTATACACTAGAATGTGTGTACACCAAGTTCAGGTCAGAATATAAAGACTCCGTAGCACTCAAACTTTCGTGCATGGTAATACCCATTCGAGTGTTAATCAGGAGTCGGTAAATTGTAGTTGAAGTTCGCACCCAGGGAGCAGAGGTGTTCTGTGAGTCTCCTAGCAAGCCAGGGGAAACTGCTGTACTTACTGAAAGCCTCTCAACCACGCATCCGAACGGTAGACTCGAACCAGTCCCAACTTGACCTGGATTCTGGTCCTCTTAGCACCATCAGGTACCTCCGTCAAACAAAGACTGTGGAATCATTTTCCTGTATCGCATCGTCTGTTGGCAGCCGCCGTACTCAAGCGCCTATGTTGAACCGGCGAGTTACGCAGCATTGAATATTTGGGGCATCATCAGCTCAGCTGAGAACGCAAATCAGGGTTAGCACTGCCACAAAAAAGTAAAATTTCTTCGTCTGTCCAGTACGATGAGCGATACCAACTATTCCATATGTCCGCTGATACCTCCGTCGAAACTACTTTCTCTGCAGAGGGATTGGGAATGAGGATGCCCAGTGACGTTCACCACGTAGTTTACCTGTTGCGGTTAATCAAATGCAGATATCCCCAAAAAGTACGAGAGACCTGTCGAGGATTGCCAGATACCATTAGCTTGGGTGTTTGATAGATCTGGAAAATCTGTCGATGCCTACCATTTCCTATGCGAGGTTGGGGTACGTGCCGTATATAAATATCCTTCCAAAAGAGATCGAGAAAACTGCTGATACATTTCCTGTGGAGACGCTGACCGTCAAACCCTCCCGTCTTTGGCCTGTAATACACTCCGACACCGTGCGGAGTGACGCGGAGCTGAAAGACCAGACATCGTGACGCAATAGCGTTCTCCCGGTCTTCAAAGTGTAGCCGAAAGACTGCGAGCTAGTGGGCAATTCACATGGGTGACATCCCAATTTTGGCGTCGAACATTCTAGTACCCGCGTATTCGCAATATGTGGTCGCAGATAACGTCGTCAAAGCTCCACACACGGAGTCCCGTACTTGTGGAGTCGAAGTCGCTAGCTTCTGATCCTGCCCTTCCGAGGGGAGTTTTTCTCACTCGTGCCCATGGGACCATTCGAATGCTTAAACAAACTACCGACAGATATCGGTCGATAGCAAGTGGCGGTGTGCAAGAATCCCCGAAGGTGCATATGACTCTGGCTTTCTCTCCAATTCCCCGCAAGCATCGTTTGGGTCGGGTGCGGTTTAGGTTGTCAGGTTAGCGGCAGAAGAACTGGTGGTTATCATAAAGAGATTTCTACCTCCGCGAATTTCATCGCATCTCGAAGCTCTGGTCACCTTGTCACATCCTATGACTTGACACAGCACCGACGGGTCATTCGGCCATTAGTGTAGAGCGAAGGTTAGCGTCATGATTGGGAGGATGTGTACACCGGAGTTGAAGTGGGATCGTTCTTAGCAGAAATAACACTATGGTGCCGCGCGAGGCTATCTGGGGCTAGTTAGCGGTTTGACGTGAAATCAGAAAATATACACAAGCTTTTGGGTTGACGCGCAACTTGGCGCGCGCCGGCAAACGCTGCAAATCCATTGGACAGGACAACTTTAAACATCTAGAACGTGTTTTTGGGATCAAGAGTAAGTACCCCGAAAGATGAGCTGCCTTTTGCGTCGTTTGGGGTCCAAACTTTACAGATACCATCCTAAAGAAACTTGATCGATGAGCCACGACCTCCCGATTTGGTACCGGGTAACCGTACTCAAGCAGACGCGACACCTAAAAAGGTTCGCCCGTTTTCGATGGTACGCGTCGACTTTCGGCGTCAATAACTACGAGGGATGTGTGGCCCACATGTCAGAAAGGCAGGAGATAAAGAACACGCGGAACAATTGGATATATGCGCCACTAGGTGGGTTTATCAACGCCGCGGTTGTTGAATTTCAGGCGCGAAATGATGGACGGGCGGAGATTCGGACGCCAAACGTTCGACTCAGACAAGGATGGCAGTAAGCACCAGAGAGCGGAAAGATAGTTCATGTAAACATATGCATAAAGCCTCTTGTGAGAAAGACACATCCGGAGCGCCTGTTATAGTGACTCCCCTCCCATACATTGAACCATTCTTTGCTCGTTCGTTACTTCGCCTTTTGCCAGGATGATAGAGGACGTCGTAAGAGGTGAGGCATCTGCAATGGCGGTTCAGACGACGTGTAACAAGACGGAAAAAGAGACAACACACCTCGAAGGACGCCGCTCGTCATCCAAACAAGAAGCGCGATGGACGCAAACGCGCGAAGTTCGCCTTAACGCTGGGAGGTCCTGTGAGGTCTAACGACGAGTGAGCGAGCAAGAATGGTAGCAGAGCAAGGCGGCCGACCTCGACAAACCAGCCTCGCGGGGCTACACTGATTGAAAGGAGCTGGCCGAAAGTGGGGGTGGAACGAACCCAAGGTCGAAAGGCAAAAAAAAGGGCTTTTATACTGTCTAGTCAGGTCCAAATGCCAGGAATGGAGGTGATTGATTTGAGATAACGGCGAGGCAGCGGCTCAGCTGATCCGCCTAAATGCAGCGGCACTAGGAGCCATAGTGGTGGTCCAAGAGACGGACATAAAAGGGCCAGAAGATCTTCAGCAGAACGAGATGCTCGTCGCGATATCAGAGTTAGAGTCCAAGTCAAAGCCTAAGCCAAACTCGACCAAATTCGATCACACCCGTCCCGGGCTCAGTCATCACTCTTACATCTCTTCCATCCACTCTACCAAGTCTTCACACGTAAGAGGCAGAGTCGTAAGCGGATAGCTGGCTGTGGGTGAAGTGAGGTCCGTAGCGTCGCTTCCTCGTCCTTTTTTCCTGCTAATTCTTGGGTTATCTACCCCTCTCCAGTTCAGAAGAAGTCAGTATGGCGTTCCAGTATTCCAGGAAGGGTTGCTTCAAGTGCGGTAATCGTGAGTCTGACAGGCAGCCCTCACGGACCATCTGTTGAAACATTGCAAAGTCGGCCATATTGCCGAGAACTGTTCTTCGGAGCAACGTCTGTGCTACAATTGCCGTCAGCCTGGTCACGAATCCTCCGCCTGTCCGTCTCCTCGTACTGTTTCTGCGAAACAGTGCTACTCGTGCGGCGGTGTTGGTCACATTCAAGGTCTGTCTCGCACTGGTTCGTCTCAGGGGACCAACCCTCACGTCCGTACCAGCGGAATGCCCGAGTTTAAGGATCCAGCAGCAGGGCAGCAATCAGAAGTGCTACGTACGTTACCATCCGTTCTTCTGATCCAAGTCATCGCCGATTTTCTATCCAGAACTGCGGCCGATTCGGTCACATTGCTCGTGCCTGTCCCAACGGGGCCAACGGAATGGGAGGCTTTGCCTCTCGGGCCCCTCCCCCCGGAAGGGCGCTCAATACCGCTACTTTGCCGCCTGTAAAGTGCTACAGGTGTGGCGGTCCCAACCATATGGCTAGGTATGCACCCTCTTACTTTTCCTTCACCGTCTCACCTTGTACAGGGACTGCCTTGCAACCCCTGGTTCCCTCGGTGAGACCGCTTCAGTTGCGAACAAGAACAAGACCTGCTACAAATGCCAACAGGAAGGTCATGTAAGTGCTCATGGGCCGTCGCTGTCGTCGTTTGAGCTCAACTATCTTCGTAGATTGCCAGAGACTGTCCCGAGGCTGAGACATTTGTTGCTTAGGAGGCTATGGCATCGCTTTTCGAAATTTCATGATGCCTAGCATGGACTCCGCTTTTTTATATGTATCATTTCTCGTAATAGCGTTATATCTTGTTGGGCATCTTTATTATTTCGAGTAGAGCCTTACGCCGAACGAAGTGTAATCGAAGCTGTATTTTCAATGATCGGGATCCAAAATATTTTCAGAGCGTGATCTCAAAGAAATTGCCGCAAGGTGCCGTGTTATTTTCTTCAACCGCAACCAGCAACATGTCGATGATTTCCTCTGCCTTGTCTGTGCTGCCCAAAAGAGCGGGCTTCACATCATGCCGCATGTTCGCCCTGCCGCTCCAGCCTGAACAGAAGAATTTTCCGTGCGGCACATCCTTTGACTTTTGATATTTTTTTTCGACTTTTCTCTCAAGAGGCATCGCGTTGCGGTTTTTGCACCACACCGCTCGCTCATCGGAGCAGTTCCAGCGGTCACGTATGACATGCTATAGGTGCGGTGAACGTGAGTCTCTGCGTTAATATGTTGGAGGGTTGTTTCTGATAAAATTTTTAGCCGGACACAGAGCTGATTCCTGCACCAAGGAGCGCACATGCTACAACTGTGGACAGCCTGGTCATGTTACCGCTGACTGTGATGCTCCTCGGAAGGTCTCTGTCAAACGGTGTTTCAGCTG